TTGGGCTCTGGCCAATCCAAACAATTTTCTCAAATAATTACTTTATTATCAGCTTCAAACCAGAGCTACAAAAAAACATATATTCAAAGCGTTATAAAATAACTTTGACTTTTGTATATCTTTCGAATAGAGTAGTAATTCTTGGAAAAGACCAAGTCCATATAAATTCCCATTTCTTGTCAGATTTGGCTGTCCAACGATAGCTAATTACTTGATTTTACGATTTCGGTACTTTTTAAACCTTCTTCTCTTGAAGTTGTTTTCGCTTCGGACGATTTGTTCCTGTCTTTTTGATGAAGTACCTCATCAGCCAGCTTTATTTCTTGCCTTCTAAGGATATTTGAAGGAACAGATTTCTTCTCAATAATGTTTTGGGACCTCTTTGGTTTTTAATATTCAAGGGCCTTACTGCCTTTTTCTTGACATTCATCAGTTTTTTCTTTTTTCTTTCTTCTTTACTAGGTTCAGCGGACATTCGACTTTCTGTGTGAAAAGTGTTAGAGGTAGAACCTTCGTAATGAGAACGAAGTATAGACCGCAAACGATTAATGAAAATTAGCTGAAACCACAATAGCACTACCATTATGAAGAATATGAGGATTATTTTGAAAGATGTGACCTTCCTGAAATATCTTTAGATCAATATGCGTCACGTTCGCATCATGAGTAAGATATTTAAATTTTTTCCAACACGTTACTCACAGAAGTTCTCGTTCGTCTTTTTTGAGCGTCTAAAATAAAAAAAAAATTTTGTGCAACAACAACATGTTCAGCGCGAATGTCTAGAAAATGCATCAAAATTGATCCCTATGTATGGCAAACAGGTGCGATGTGATCTCATACAAAGCAAAGTTGCAAGACTGATGTTTGATCTCATCTTTGTAAAACTAAGAAAAGATGAGAAAATATATGGGTATGAGTTGCTACAGAGCCGATGTGCGCTTCGAACTACTTGCAAATATTTACAAAAGAAATTAAGCATATTTTTTACCAAACGCTACATATTATTCGAAGGATGATATCAAGGTGGTTAACGTTCGTTTGCTAATGCCCACACCTGCCTCCGAAAGCGAGAGCTTCAATAATTGTATGAAGAGAATTATTAATATATTTTGCGCATTTCAGCCCTGTCATCTCCTTCACCTTCTTTTTTCCCTCGTTTCTTCGATGTTCAATATTTGAAAAGGAAGACGGTGGCTACGTTTTACCACCTCTCTTACTTTTTTTGTTAAAGTTTGCCTGAGACCTCCTAATACCCTCCTCTTTGTACGCACTCCCTTCACCCCTCTTTTCCCCAAATTCCAGATTTTTTGCCTTTGTCTCATGAAGGTGCTACATGACTTAGTGATACATCAGTATAAGGCCACTGACCTATGCACCAAAATTTCTTATGTTTTCAGAGGTTTGCAGAATCCTCAGATAGATTTTCTAAACGA